TCCTGAGACCACAGCTGCACCCTCTCCCACTCCAGCACAAACATCTGCTCTTCAGACAACCTCCACACTCCTCTCCACCAGCGCCAAAACCTCCAGCCCGGCTGCTGCAACGACCACTGCTGCTCCTGTCACCACCACAGCTACGGAGACAACAGCCTCTCCCACCACGGCCCTTGCAGAAACATCCTCCTCCGCTCCTGGCACAAGCCCACCTCCTGCCACCACCTCGGCTGTTACCCCGAGCCCTGCTCTGTCCACACCTACACCCACCTCTTCTCTGCCAACAGCCTCCACTGCTGTTACTACGGGCACATCAACCCTGGAGGCAACCACCGTGGCCATCTCCTCCACCACGCTGGAAACCTCCAGCACAGCTGCCCAGGCCACCTCTCCTCCTGAGACCACAGCTGCACCCTCTCCCACTCCAGCACAAACATCTGCTCTTCAGACAACCTCCACACTCCTCTCCACCAGCGCCAAAACCTCCAGCCCGGCTGCTGCAACGACCACTGCTGCTCCTGTCACCACCACAGCTACGGAGACAACAGCCTCTCCCACCACGGCCCTTGCAGAAACATCCTCCTCCGCTCCTGGCACAAGCCCACCTCCTGCCACCACCTCGGCTGTTACCCCGAGCCCTGCTCTGGACAACACCTCCCCAGCTCTGTCCACACCTACACCCACCTCTTCTCTGCCAACAGCCTCCACTGCTACTACTACGGGCACATCAACCCTGGAGGCAACCACCGTGGCCATCTCCTCCACCACGCTGGAAACCTCCAGCACAGCTGCCCAGGACACCTCTCCTCCTGAGACCACAGCTGCACCCTCTCCCACTCCAGCACAAACATCTGCTCTTCAGACAACCTCCACACTCCTCCACCAGCACGCCGAAACCTCCAGCCCGGCTGCTGCAACGACCACTGCTGCTCCTGTCACCACCACAGCTACGGAGACAACAGCCTCTCCCACCACGGCCCTTGCAGAAACATCCTCCTCCGCTCCTGGCACAAGCCCACCTCCTGCCACCACCTCGGCTGTTACCCCGAGCCCTGCTCTGTCCACACCTACACCCACCTCTTCTCTGCCAACAGCCTCCACTGCTGTTACTACGGGCACATCAACCCTGGAGGCAACCACCGTGGCCATCTCCTCCACCACGCTGGAAACCTCCAGCACAGCTGCCCAGGCCACCTCTCCTCCTGAGACCACAGCTGCACCCTCTCCCACTCCAGCACAAACATCTGCTCTTCAGACAACCTCCACACTCCTCTCCACCAGCGCCGAAACCTCCAGCCCGGCTGCTGCAACGACCACTGATGTCACATCCAGTCCAACTGCAACAGCCACTGCTGCTCTTTTCATCACCACAGCTCAAGGTACAAGACATATATCACTCATTACTTTATATGATCTTAGAAGTGGAGTTTATCCTGAATCAGCAGATATACTTAGGTAGTAGTCTGCCAAAAGCTATTAAGTCTTGTGAAATTAATTGAATTCCACTAAAATATATAACTTTTTTGTGAAATGTGTATGAAATATTTCCATCGCTATCACTGCATTAGTGCCTTTTAAAAGATGTTTAATATTCAGTACATTTTTGTATGCTTTTCTATGAAACTGCCCTCCTTCCTTGAGAAAGTAACTTCATTTCATACCTGACAAGAAACAATATTATGCATGACATGGCTTTCCTTTCTTTCATTTCATGGAGCGATTGTAGCCTCTGTGTTATGTACTGAAGGCCACTTCCTGAATATTGCACATAGAACTAAATCTCTACGTTGAAAGGCATGGAAATACTTAGGGGATTTTGTGCCCTCATTGTGAAACTCAAAGTTATCCACCCAGGTCAGATATATAACAGCACTGGGGATGTTTAAAGAAATATTCATACAAAAGGTACATCAAGATTAAGGTTAAACACACATTATTCTCTCTCTCTATATGTGTGTAGGTTTAACCTCACTATTAAAAATATCATTAAGATAGAAGCAATCATATCATTTCTTAAACTGTGTAAAGACCAAATTAAAATTCGTGATCACAACCAGGTAGTGCCACACAACATGAAAGCAGTTGTAACGGGGCTGAAACAGGGGCATAGCTGGAAGGAGACCTCTGTGTTTGCCCACTCAGAGCCTTGACACCCTGTCTTCTGCATCTTGTCACTCCCCATCTGTGTTTCTTGCAGCTCACAGCCATCCACCAACAACAGCTGCAGGCCCCGAGCATTTCACCATCAACTTCACCATCACCAATCTCCCCTACAATTCTGACCTGGCAACTCCTGACTCAGTGAAGTTCAACACTACACGGAGAGTCATGACCACCCTGGTAAGCGGCCCACCATAAAGCAGTGGCCACACCCCCTATAGCCCCATAAGCTTGAGGGGAGTGCAGGGAGATGGCCAGGGCTTAACTGTGAAACTTCTCTCCCTGGCAGCTCAACCGCCTTCTGAAGGAAAGCAGCATTGGCCCCACTTTCCTTGGATGTGAAACAATAGCCTTCAGGTATGGGTCGCACCCCAGTGTGCCTTTGCAGGTCCCACAGTGAGATCAGAGGGCCTGTCACGCTCGTGCTCTGTTGCCACCTAGACTACAGAGGCAGGACCTTCTCCTCATGCCTTCCTGCCTTAGGGACTCCCCTCGCTGCCCGCCCTCTCGCCTTGGGGCACTGATGGCATAGCCCCAAGACAACTCTGAAGTCCTGCCTGGCCCCGTGCTTCCTGAATAGCCCCGAAGTATTCATGGAGGCAGGAGAGCAGTGGCCGACCACCACGCACACATGGGTTGGGAAGGCAGTGCTGCTTGCGTTCCCACGCAGGGACAGCTGCAGAAGTCCCAGCGCCTGGCGTTGCACTGAGAGGACACAGAGGAGGGGTGCTCAGGCATGGCGCTATGTTTTCCAGGCCAGCGAGGCAAGGGGACAACACAGGGGTGGATGCAGTCTGCACCTGCAGGAAGGAGTCCTCCGCCACGCCCTTGGACAGGGTGGGCCTTTACCACGAAGTGAGTAACAAGACCAGAGGCATCATGCAGCTGGGCCCCTACAGCCTGGACACAGACAGCCTCTACATCAACGGTGAACCTTTTTCTTTCCTGTATTTTTCATGTGTTGCTATATAGAGATACAATTTCATTTCTTGTCATACTCATTCATTAAGGAGTTCTATTTTTTCCTAAGGTTTTATTTGTGCTTTGACTCCACAGTATCCTTAATTTTTTCTGGTAGGTTTTACAGGATGTGCATCATACACTGGTATATAATTCCATCTTTCTCTATATATTTTAGTGTTAAAATAGGAAAATTAAGCTTGTTCAAGTATACTTTACTTCTTACACTTAATTTAAGTATTCTAACTATGAACTTTTTCTCCACTGTTTCGTGGTTTTGGTTTGGGCCCCCCTCCCCCCCCTTTGTATATATTTACCTTTAATGAACATGTCTTTCCCTTTCAGAGTACAACGAAGCACATCTTTTGCCAGGTAAATCTATAACATTGTTTATAATCTGAATGTAAACCAGTAATACCACATGTAAATATCAACATGTATCATACCTTGTCTAATAGTGACATTGTTTTTCTTGCAAAAAAATACAGTACAGCTATGTTGATTTTTTTATATGATTATCTTACTCCTTATAAAATCCATTAATTCCAATATGTCATTCACTTTTCCTTGGGTTTTGCTTCCAGCTACAGCTATGTTTCCAAGAACTGGGAAGTTCACAGTGAATTTCACCATAACTAATCTCCAGTACTCTACTAGTCTCAGAAATCCATATTCTGCCAGGTTTAGTGCTACAGCAAGAGTCCTGACTGCCCTGGTTAGTGCGACATATTCCTATCTATTTTTTCTTTGTGATAGTGCTCATCTAAATATGGTTAACTTGTAAAACACATTCTTTTTCAGCTTGATCAGCTGTTCAAAAAGACTAGTATTCATTCTTTGTACACAGGCTGCAAAATGACGGCTTTCAGGTAAGCATAATTATTTAGAAAATATATATTTTTCCTTTTCATAATGTAGTATGATACACAAATGGATCCTGGTCCCCTAATTCACTTTTACACCTTTTAATTTATCACATGATTCAAGAATCCCAAGAAATCATTACACTTTTTTCAACTATGTCTTTATAAATTTACTTGAATTCATGCTTGCAGCATCTGAAAGGTCAGGTATGTTCTCACCATTTTGATAACACACTCGAAAGACTCATCATGGGGAAAAAAATTTTCTTCTCTACCTGGCAATATGGTTGAATTAAATAAAAACCCCATCAGCATGTATCATGAATATTGAACTCTGGAACAGAACACAATATATCCTAATTTCCCTAGACCTGCACAAAAAATTGAAGACACTGGAGTAGATGCTGTGTGTACCTACAAAACAGATTCTGCTGCTGCCCAGTTTGATCAAGTGCTTGTTTACCATGAAGTGAGCAACAAGACAAACGGCATCACACAGCTGGGCCCCTACAGCCTGGACCAGGAAAGCCTGTATATCAATGGTAAAGTGTTGATTTCCATGTGGATGTGGAGGTATTCATTGGCTAATAGTCCATAGCTGTCTTGTAGTTAAAGCACAGTACTGACTAGTATGCAGATGGAAGAGCATTTGCAACATGTATACTTGGGCTCAACCTATGTGCTAGGTAATTCACAAAGCTCCATCACCTACACAAATTCTCTTCAAGCTAGCACCATTTACCTTCAGAGGTTTTGCAGTCAGTTGCAGCTTTCTTTTTGTTTTAAATAACATCTGATAAATTACTAAAACATGCAAGGCAGCATATAAATCTTAAAAGAAGTAAAGGAAACTAATTTCAGCATAAATTCAGAACCTTCTTCCACCATTTACAATGGAGCTTTCTTCAAAATAATATCATAGATAGTTTAAGTGACTGCTCAGAAACAGCAAATCTATTGTCCTTCAGTGGCATTGTTCACCTATACAAATATCTGATTCAATTATTGTCTCCCATTAGTAGCATAATTCATTACTTCTTTGTCCTTTCTCCTTCCAGATTACCATGAAGCCCATCTCATACCTCGTAAGTACTTTTAAGTAATTAGAAAGCCATGATGCCCTAAGTGTCAATATACAAGATAGAGATTAAACGCCTAGTCAGATATCTTCTCTTTATCATTTAATGGAACTACAAGTAAAAATAAAGTGCAAACATTTAACAGTGAGAGAAATTAACTAAGCACCGTTGGTATCAATGTCTCATGAAGCATTTGAATTAGATCAGGATTACATGGGAGGTCAGAGGAGACTGTGTGAGGAGACCTGTTTGTATGTTAGCGGTAAGTGGCTGAGCTGATGTCAGGAGGGAATGCTCTTCCTGACTGCTAATTTGATATTAGGAGGAATTGAGTCACCACGTAACGACAGAAGCAATAAAACCCAGAGAGAGAGCAAGAGCAAATGCTAACCAAAGCAGAGGACCCACTGTCACTCATAGCCTTTGCACCTTGTTATTCCTTTGCACTAACTAGTTTAGCCAAATACAATATATCCCTATCATAATACACCATAGGTCGTTCTCCAGAAAATATAAGGATTGACCTCTCAAGGTGCACTATGGAATGTGTTCCCCTGCAGAGGAACAGCACCAGAACTGGACACCACTTGACAAATATAATTCCTTAAATTGTCAGTGTAGAAGTTAAATTGGATTTAGGGAATGGGTGAATTCCCTCTCAACACCCCTAAGGGAGAGAGAATTCTGTGCGCTGCTCTCTAAGAAAAGCAGCAGCTTGCCAACAACATACAGCAGTATGAATGTGCATTTATGCCTAGACAGTCATCAAATCAGTCTTTCCTAGTAAACGTTTACACAGAATCTCTCAGACAAAAACAATTCAAGCTCTGTGTCCCACCATGTGCCAGAGCTTCCAAATTGTAAGCCAGTTTCTCAAATACCATCCCTTTTCTTCCCCCCTACACGTTATAATGAACTGCAGCCCGGACTATGTAAGCACCTTTAAATAGCAATTGAAAGGGCAAGAAGATTTTGCTAGTTAGCAATAGCCAAAAAAGAAGGTTGGACTAACCAACCAAGAGCGCTACTGGACTAAAACAACCTTAAAAGAATTTGGGAGCCTGTTAGGGATCCACAGCTGCTATGACTCAGAAGCCACCTAGAATATCAGAATTTTTCTTATAGCATTTCCTCTAGGGGTGATGATCATAAATTGTATTTTCAAGCAATAATTTGCCTTGCTTATTACAGGTGTTGATCAAACCGCACAACCTCTGTCCCCAGCAGTGAGGAACTTCACATTGAATTTCACTATAACCAACCTCCAGTTCACTGCAGATCTGGCAATGCCAAATTCTAAAAAATTCAAGTCAACAGAAAAAGTCATGTACTATTACGTAAGTCTGGCAAAACAGTGCCCTGCTCGGGCACAGTTCTTTTAATACCTCTAATCTCTTACCTTTGCCATGACATTTTACTTTAATATTACTAAATTTCTATAGGTTGACTCTTTACTCCAAAAAAGCAGCATCGGCCCCGATTATATTGGCTGCAAAGTACTGGCATTCAGGTAAGAGTCATGTCTGGGAGAAGTCTGCATTACCTGCTTCTTAAAAAGTTGTTTCCCATTTCTCAGCATTCAACACATTAATGTAATGTGACTGAGTGGTTCTCTTATACACGTCTTTGAACTTTGATCTACTAAAAGTTAAGAGGGACTTCTCAATAATGACTAAAACATCCTAAAACAATGCTTTGTTTCCTAGGTCAAAGAAGGACAGGGATAACACGGGAGTAGATGCCATCTGTAGCTATAAAGATGAGCCTTCACATCCCAAGTTCAGCAGAGTGACAGTTTACCGTGAGCTGAGCAATATGACAAATGGCATCACCAAGCTGGGACACTACAGCCTTGACAGCCAGAGCCTCTACATTAATGGTAATGAAACCACCTCAAGGCATTATTCCATATGTTGACACAGGCTATTGTGGAATGAGAATTAAGAGGATTAAATACACCTCTCAAAACAGACAACAAAAAGTAAAGGGCAAAAAAACCTGTCAGAGTCACTAAGTTACCACTGTCATGAATTTAGTAACCATGATCCTGAATCTTTTGTAATAAAAAAAACATGTGTTTAGTCCTGCTGAGACATTCTTGAAATATTTACCTAATAATTGTCTATTTCTTTTTCAGATTACAATGAACATCATAGTCTGTCACGTAAGTATATTTAAGAACAGATACATATTAAAGCTACTCAAAGGCATAAGTTGATTTTGTTTGCCCCGATTTGGCAATGCTCATAAGATTGCAAAGTATCCGAAGTGCATGATCATGTTCATAAGTTTTTCTGCTCTAAACATAGAGAAAAATAGTAACAATACCGTGTCTTATGAAGATCCGGTTCTTATTTTATCTGTGTGATTTTTGTTCTCTCACAGTGGTGAAGCCAACCACCACACAAAGCCCAGGAGCAATAACAGAGCAATTCATACTGAACTTCACAATAATCAACCTCAGGTTCACGACAGACCTAGGGACACCAAATTCTGCTAAATTCAATTCTACTGAGAAAATAATGCAACGTTACGTAAGCCAAAGTCACATTGTTTTTCTCTGAAATCACCCTATATTTTGCGGTTTCCATACTCACAATGACCTTCCCTTGTCAGATTGACCCCCTGTTTCAGAAGAGCAGCATTGGCCCCTATTTCACTGGCTGCAAAGTAACAGGATTCAGGTGAGCAATACAGCTGAAAGATTAACTTTGAACTTCAGCAAATGGATTTCCTTACATTTGACTGACACTTAAATAACTAAGAACAGTTCCTTTTTCAAGGAGTCAGTATCATTATAATAAAGTTTCTATGCACTTTTGTGTGGTCCTTATCTTACAATGCCTTTTTCTTTGTAAAACCATATCTCAGTAATTTCTGCAGTTCATCTCCGAGAACTGTGGACAGATTTTAATTGTTTTGGGTTTTTTTAATCACATCTGAAAAAAAACAGATTTTTGGAATAACTAACAGAAGTTACATGCTATTCAATTACTCAGGTCAGTGAGGAATAGGGATAACACAGGAGTAGACACCATCTGCAACTATAGAAATGGCTCCCAAGTGCCCAAGTTCGACCAAGCTAAGGTTTACCAAGAACTAAGGAGCATGACAAATGGCATCACCAAATTAGGAATCTATAACCTGGACAACAAGAGCCTCTATATCAATGGTAAGTGCTTGATTTTCTCATTCCTCCAGGCACTAGAGCAGTTTGGGGCTACCTTGGGCCTTAAGGAGCACATCAATGTAAAAAAAAACAAACAGTGACCTTAAGGAAAAGGTGGTCCCACTGGAGTTTACTGCATAACTTGTGTGTAAGATGAAGTGTATGCTTCCAAGAACATTTTCACATAGACATTTTTGAAGATTTTAGTTTCTATATTACATTGAAGAATGACTTAATTTTAGTCTTGACCTCAGTCATTCACCTACATATGAACATTTCACCTAATTTCTATCCCACCAGTATTTAATTTAAAGTGGCACATATGTTTTCCCATTGTAGTCTTCACTATTATAAAAGCACCTTTTCCTGCTTAAGCAGTAGGTTGTTTGTCTAATAGATTCACGCCCTCCAGGACTGGTTCTAATGATTCATTCCCAAGTCATCCATTTAATCATCCCCTCTTTTCTTTCATTCTCTTAAGTGTATGGTTCTCTTACATAATGTTTCTCTTGCATTTCCTTTCCAGGTTACAATGAACCACTTGAAAGATCACGTAAGTGTTTTGCCAAACTCATTCCAGGAAAAGCTATCAAAGGAGTGGTGCACTCAGAAAATAAGAGGGGAAGAGATTCTTCTGGGTAGCCTTGAAGTGTACTAGGATTGGGAATGTCTTTGAAAGTGAAGATAGCTTTTTGTATAGTAAGATCATAATCCTTCTCCCCTTTGATTATAGCTCTGAGCATAACTACTGCACCAAGCCCAACGTCCGGGCATTTCACACTTAATTTCACCTTGACCAACCTCCAGTACACTGCAGATCTGGATGCACCAAGTTCCCGCAAATTCATTTCCACAGTGAAAGTTATCAACTATTATGTGAGTCTGGCTCCGGTTTTGCCCATTTTGTGTTATGGTGGTGATCTTAACCTGCCTGCATTAAAGTCAGGACATGCTTTCAAGTTTTCTCAGTTGTACTTTTTTTTGACAGATTGACCCTCTTTTCAAAAGAAGCAGCATAAGCTCTGCCTACACAGGATGTAAAGTGATGAGATTTAGGTAAGATTCCTGAAAGTGCAATTAACCATTTCTTTACCTGCTCTTATACACCTTAAATTTGCATAAGTTATTATAGTTGTTCTGATGCCAGAAAACAGAAGCCAGTGACACCTCCCTGCCTGTTCATGATTTTCTTGCTGGTAAAATCATTTTGGTACCTAAATGTCATTGCCACACTTCTTGAGAATCTGCTGAAAGATGTAGGAGCCCAATTGCACTGATAGGTTTCAGTGCCTCTTGTTCCTAGTCATACAAATTACACAGGGTGTTCTGTAAGCATCAGCCGTGTCCTAAAGAACATGTCTGACATTTTTACTTAGGTCTGGGAGAGACAGGGATGACACAGGCGTAGACGCTGTCTGCAGCTACAAAAACAATGCCAGCCTTGCCAGGTTTGACAGAGAAAAGGTTTATCACGAGCTGAGCACCATGACAAATGGTGTCACCAAACTAGGGCACTTCAGCCTGGAGAAGAACAGCCTGTACGTCAATGGTAAGCATCCATGGACAGTATCAAGATATGATTTTGGGATCACTTGGCGATCACTCCTCATTCTTCCACTCCACTGGGGCTTGAGCACTAAAGAACTTCACTTTTGATTTGTTGGTATTCTGTAGGTTTTGACACTATGACAAACCAATCAGCATGATACTGCCATTCTAGAAGCATTTCCATCCCTTAAATCGTACAAATTCCTGGAGAATTTCATTGTTACATTATATAACCTAAACAGGAACATACCTATATTGCTTTTGTGGTATGGATAGATATGATGTAAAAATAAATACACTTTATCTTTTTTATTTAGGTTTCCCCCTCACAGACAGAGCTGTTGCCAGAAAGCCTACCTTGACTGAAGCTCCAGCCAAACTAGGCTACAGATTGAGCTTTAGAATAGTAAATGAAAATCTCACTAACCCAGACTCTCAGTCTCCAGAATACAAAGCAGCAGCGAAAAGCATCAGTAACAAGGTAAGGATCTGCAGCTCAAATACCATCATGTCTGCACTGGTCAATTTTTGCAGCAACTGCCATAGATTTATTTTTTAATCAAAAAAAATCAACATTTGGGAACAAACATGTCTAGAATTTAAAAGATGAGATTGGCCTTTGAATCACTTTTGTTACATGTGGTCTTAAGAAATTATCTCCACCCAAAGACGCGCACTACAGAGTGCAAGAGGTTTAGGTCATCTGTTAAACGCACACTCACTCAGCATTTCAGTCCCATTGCTGGAAGCATATACAAATCTGCCAGCTCAGAGATCAGCACATACATAACTCATTGCTGAGAATCCAACACATCCTCTTCAGCACAGATCCACCAACATATCAACCAGATAAAGCCCTAATTAGGTAGGTTTTGCTTTTTAGATGAAGCCGTAACATTCCATACTTTGAGTTCTGAGTCTGCACTGTCTGTGAAATGTGGATCAAGATGACAGCTGTCAGTCAGCAGATTGTGTTTAACACTGGCAGCTTGCTCAGATAAGACAGAAAGGCTTGCCAAGTTGGAAGTCAGACTCCATCACCAGAAGGCATATTCTGAAGTAAAAAGCAACTCCCATGAAATCCAACTAGCCAAAAAAAAAATCTGGTGTTTCTCCAAAGTTAGAGGCCCTTCTGCTGCCCTAAAGCATCTACCACGAGGCCCAGAACTCATTAATATTTAACATGACATTTTTCTTTCAGATGAATCAACTATACCATCAGAGCAACCTGCGAGACCAGTTCCTGAACTGCAGTATCATAAGGCTGAGGTCTGTGATACAATCTGATTTTGTTTGAAAGGTTGCCACACCCTGGCACCATTCCCCAATGGCCAAGTGCCATTGTCCTCTGCAGAATTCCTCCCCTCCATTCTCATGTTGGAAATTATTTGGTTCATGCCCTAAGAAGTCATTTCCAGGCTTCCCAGAATTCATCAGGTTGATTTTCCCCTGACTTGGTATGGACTGACATTTTTCTAAGTCTCAGTCAGGATTTCTGTAAGGCAGTCTTAGGTCTTTGAATATCCCAGTAATTTCCATCAGCAATCTTACCTCTTGATGAGGACCGAATGGTGACTCTGCAACCTCTGCCCTCCTCCTCCCAACTTGGACTCCACTAGGTTTTAAAAGTGGGCTTTCAGGTGTAGCTGTAGAATCCTACGCTAGATGGGAAGAGGCTTGGACAAGGGACCCTCACACAGGGTAAAAGCTTTTAAAAAATAAAGTGCTGCTCATTTGCTATATGCATGCAGCATAACCTCAGTTTGCAGAGAGAAGAGGTAGTAGTATTGCATCTGCTGTCCCTGGCCAAAGGAAAAGCCCAACGCAGCCTGTTCCACATCTCTCAATAGCACCACATTAGCTTAAAACACTTCACACTCGGAACAGCAGGAACCCTTCAGGAAAACCTTTCCCACATGAAGAAGTTTTTTCTCTCTCCACAGGACTGGATCCATAGTGGTCGACTGCAAGTGCTTCTTCCAGCCAGAGCCCAGCATCAACAGGGCTGTGGTTGAAAGGGCTTTTCAGGACGGGACTCAGAATGCAACCGGACTATGGCTGGGAAGCAGTTACCAGCTGCAAGGATTCTCAGTAGAGAGTACGTAGACCTCAAATCACAGCGGCCCAGTTTCCACCTAGATCAACCCACTTTGCCACGGCATACTCCGAATTCCCCAACTTCTGGTCTATCAGAGGGTGTGTGTGTGGGGGGGTGGTGGAAATATATCTATGTTATCAAGTTGAATCACTGAATCCGAGTCAGAGCTGGGCCATCCTTTGCCACATTCAGTCTGGCTCAGTGTAGCCCTTTAGTCCTCAATGGCTTAAGGTGTTACTCAATGCTAACTAATAAGAAAATGAAGTGGTAACTACTCACCATAACTTCAAGCATTTAGAGATAAACAGACTTTTAGCTTTTTTCAAATGTACAACTTCCCAAAGAAATAAGTGGCCTAGTACATTGCTGAAGGACTGATTCAAAGGGTAGACAGGGAATTTGCTGTCAGACCCAAATGCAACTCAAGTTCTGTTGTTCTATTAAGACTTCAAGTTTTCCCAATTAAAAGTCTGCAAATCAATGCTGCTTGGTAGAAAAAGCCTCTGTTTTTCTCTGCTAGAATTTATACTGACTTTTCATCTCAATTTCCAGGCTTGAAACCAGCAACCGAGGCAGCAACTTACAAAACACCCCTCAAGTCTAGGGAAGAAAACTTCAGATTAAACTTCAGAATCTCCAACCTTTCCTACTCCCCAGAACTGCAGGACTCCAGGTCACAGATGTACCAAGTGAACAAAGAGAAAATTGAGAAAGAGGTAAAACTAACAGCAATAGCTTGCTTTCCCTGTCTAAATTAAAGATGTATTGCATTTACTCAGTTTTCCCCAATCTTTTTGTTTCTTCCCATCAGCTTGATGTATTCAGAACTAGCAGCCTGAAGGACTACTTTGCTGGCTGTACTGTTGAGAGCTTTGGGTACGTCCTGCTTCAGAAGTGTTTTTTCTTGAGTCCCAAAAAGAGCAGTTAGCAGAAAAGGCATTCAGAGCCACAGCATGCTGTTTATGCCTCATTGCCAACGTTTGTGCTCTGGATGACACATAGGAGGCACCTTCCTTCACTCTCAGTCAGTTTTGCCTTTACCGCAAAAGGTTTCTGTCCAAATGAGAGGTGGTTTTGTTTCCATGCTAGCGAAGCTATTTTTGTGCATAAACAATTCCAGAGTAAAACAAATACATTCATACTCTCATTTAGCTTATTCAAATAAGCTAAAACTCCACTGAAACACATTAGCAAAACAATCATCAGAACTGACCAGCCTGAGAACAAAATCTACTTCTGTGTCTCTTCTCCAACACCTCTTTAGAGGAACAGAAAAAGCTGAACTGATTTACCCTTAGAAATGCCTTGCCTGGGATTAAATCAGTGGGTGGATTTCACAAGGCTGCATGAGTTCCTGTCTCATCTAGCATAAACTGCAAAAACTGATCCCATGCTAATAAAACACTGCTTAGACATCTGCAAACCTGAGCCTGGTTCTGAATCCCTCTCTCCCTGCCTCTACTCAGCTCTACTTCTTTTTCCTCTTCTCCCATAATGACGACTCTGGCTGTCATCCTCCAGGCCTGTCCATGGGAAGGCTTACACAAATGTTGCCGCCGTCTGCAAATTCACACTGGACCCCTTCTCACGGACTTTACAGAAGCAAGAGGTGTATGAGGAGCTGAAACACCTGACACATGGGTTCACCAAGCTGGGCCCCAGCTACGAGCTGGAAGAGCAGAGTCTGGTTGTTGAAGGTGAGACACCCTGCCATGACTTTGTGGGAACACTTATTAGTTTTGTTTTAATCACCTCTAGAGTGCTCTGTTTCTCACGTGTCCCACGCTTTATTTCCAGGTTACTCTCCACTCAAGACAGATGAGCAGGACTCCAAAAGATCTAGTAAGTGTTTTTTGGGAGGGATTGACCCTGCAGCCACTGAATACTTGAAGTAAATTAACATCACATACCTTGAAATGGAGACTAGACCCATGCAAGAGCCCAGAAATCTAGGACTCTTTGTAGGCTGACAGCAAACAGAAGGTACCATCAGAGCCAGCCAGCCTGAGGAAAATGGAAGTGAAGGACAGGCAAAAGCAATGCAATTTGGGAAGCTGTTTTGGAGCTCTGGCACCAATAAATTTTGATGACTGCAGTATTTACAAAAAAATCCAGGTACCATGTTGTGAGCATAGCCACAACCCCAGAACTAACAGTAAACAGGAGAAAAAAAAAGTACTCTGAACTGTTGCTTTTCCATGCACCACAAACATGCTGGCAAAAGTAACTGCAGCTTTTGCTGACACCCTTAGCCCTGTCCCCTTCTCCAAAAGAGTCCAGCCAGAAGCTGAGAGCGAGCTTTGTCTCTCTGAGCATCCCTGAAGCCATCTGAGGGCTCTGACACTCACTGAGGTGGCATTTAAAGTTGTAGATCCTCAGACCCTCACTCCATTTTACCAAAGTTTCTGTACGTCCTGCCCATATTGACATCGCTGGGACACGTTTGCCCTGCAGCCAGGGAAGGCCAGATGCCTGCCTTTCAGCAATTTTGCCTCACCTATGCGCTGTACAGTACTTTTGAACTTTGCCAGGGCGGGATCTCCCTCTCTGTCCCACATACAGGGATCCAAAAAACTGATGTGCCTTTATTTTGCCTTTGCAGAGCTTCCGTACTGGGCAATTATCCTCATCTGCATTTTCACCCTGCTGGGCTTCATTCTCCTCATCTTGTTATGCTTCCTGGTAAGTGGCCCCTTTGCTGTCCTACCTCTAACTTGACTGTGGCCGTGCCCAGCCACCTGGGGAGTTGCAGGAGGGACATTCAGACACATCCACAAGAAGCCCCATGGAAGCAGTACCTCATATGCATGGTAACAGCAAATGGCATGCCAAATCCTCCTTCAGTTACTGCCAACTCTTTCAAGAACTTGCGCACAGGAGGATGAGGAAGGGTATTTATAGTCAGTAAGTAGATTTCTAGGAAAGGAAGCAGCGGCTTATGAATGAGATAGAGTCCTTTGCAGAGAGACAAATATAAAACCAAAGGTTAGGCAACACCAAGATGACAAGCAGGTTGAATTAGGGGACCACCCACAGCATTTTAAACCTTTTCTCTGTTCAGATACCTGCAGAATTATCAGGTTACAGAGAAGGGACTGCAGAAGACATTTTTAATGACTTGCAGGAATCACATCCAGAATTTTGTATTCAATGCTCTTAACGTAGACTGTAGCAGCCTTGCAGGGCCATACTCCAGCTGCGTACCCTTGGAAAGAGCAGAGCAGATCCCCTTCTGATCTCTGGTGCCGACTTGATGGGGGACAGTATCTTAATAGCACTGTCTCAAAAGCAGCTGTGTGTGCTTTGCACCAGCTAGAAGAGAACAGCTAAATCTACAGAGAACATGGATTACTGTCCTTGGAGGTTCAAGAGCAAAAATTACAGTCAGCATGATTTAGAAGAGGAAAAACCTCAGATTCAAAGTCGGGGGCTGTGCTGGCATCTGCCTGTGCAGCTTTAGGCAAGCGTCTTATTCAGAGTCCCTCCATCCCCACGTGGAAACACGGTTTGGGGGCATCCAATGAAGGGCAAAGTGCAGACCTGGGGTTTTTGCCATTAACATTGTTCTTTTCCCACCAGGTCGTCTTTTGCCTGAGAAGAAAGTCACATCTATACCAGGTTCAACAGGGCACGTACGGGGTGTACTTCCCACATCTGAACACAAGAAAAGCGCATTGACGGAACAGATGAAGTCTGTCTTCACAGACCTCTTCGTCCATTGATGAAGGAAAAAATGTTTCATTAATAAATTGTTTAGCATTTTCTCTTGTCTTGAGCCAAATCTTTGCACTATTACCACAACTATTTTCATACTACGGGGAAACTGCCAACAACGCAGACGTTGAGGAAAAATATTTTTTTAAAGCACCGCAATATTTTATACAAATATTACACAACCAACAGAAAATAAAGACTACCAGGAACTGCAGTTTACAAGGCTCTTCAGTGTTAATGTCAGTTTTCTGAAAAAGGCTTAATTTATAGATTTTTGGGGACTATTGTAAACATAAAAACACCACCTAGATTTTAGCTTTTTTCCGATTTATCTTTTAAAATGTAAACATCTTAAACAGATTGAAACATTTCATACATTTAAAGTGATGTAAGGGATTATGTAGAGATACACTGTTAAGTCTGAGTGCGATACAGTCACCCTGTGTCTTTTGAGATTGATACTGATTTCAGTTGAATAAATGCCAGGTTTGTTGCCACGAAACTGTATTTCCTTGTATTTCATCTGTAGCGACACTTTTCATCCCAAATCAGAAAATACTTCTGCCCTACTGAAACCCCTGCGCTTTTGCTCCTCAGTTGTCTTGGGCATCCCGTAGCGCAGGGTCTGATGTTACGGAGATCGGGACCTTTCACTGCCCCTCCCCAAGAGCGCCTGTCGCATGCCGCAGCTTTCTGCGGACCACAGGAGATGGTGCTGATCTCTAGGTAATTATCTGACACTGTCATTAAATGAACTCTGCTGAAAGCGAAAGCACTAGAATTAGAATTAATGAAACCATGATTAGTCATTAATCCTTCCACTGCAGGCAATGTTTCCACGCAATCAAACTGGCTTTTTACTTTCAAAGTAAAGCTCCTCAATGGCAGGTTGGACCAGTTTGTCCCCCAGGTCAGGTTCCTCAGTGCAGAGTGGAGTTTCTTACGCAGAGGATTAGAAACCTGTTTGTTCAATCAAACAAAGGTTTTCAAGCACCCACAATAATGTCAGCAACATCAGATTAAAAGCTTTCACGGTCACTTGCAAAAGACCTTTGCAGGTTTCCATGCCACCCAGCGTGCCCTGGCTGCAGCAGCCATCCCACGGCAGAAGCACCGTGATCAGAAAGGACTTCACGACTCGGGCTTCGACCACAGGCGCTCGAGAAAAGCGGCGTGACAGAGCGGAGCTGGCAGGGTCCAGACACTGGAGCACCAGCTCCTGCCTTGGCAGTTCCGGGCAAACCCCCGGATCTTCAGCCAACTGTCCCTGCTGCGCCTCCGTTTCCTTCATCCTGGTACCCCAGTGCCCTGCTCCCCTCTCACCATGGAGCCCCATCTCTTACTCTCAAAAAAACACACGAGTGATGCTAATAACAGCACAGCACAGGGTGTGGAGATGTGACAGCTGGGAGAGGAAGGTGCTATTTCATGGAGCTGTTTCCTAGGGGGTTTGAATCTTCTTTTCTATGCCATGGCCACAGGAGAAGACGTGCCTCTCAGCACTCTGAGCCACACCACCAACGCCTCCTCCTCCAGGCTCTCCCTGGGGGTTTGCTGGGAACAGGAGAGGCCCATTGCAGAGCACAGACCAGCAGCCCCTGCACTGGCACCGCTGCCCTCTCCAGCCTCAGGGACAAAAGGGAAAGCAGAAACAGCAGCAGCCTCCCAGGGGAGCTCCTTCCAGCATCCTGAGCCCCAGGACAGACCTGAGCGCACCAGGGCGAATTTGTATCTGCTCAACAGCAAGACACACATAGCTGGACTAATTTAGAAAAGCTTTAGTTTAGATAGAGCACAGCAGCACTCAGCTCTGTCTGACCTGCTTGCAGGGGCTCCAAAGAGCCAGGACAACCATCCCAGCAAAACCATGAGACCCTGTTTCCTAAGGGGTCGTTGCAAACATGCTTTTCTGCAGAAACAGCTGCAGCCACGCACGCCGAGCATCCCCCTCCCTGGCACAGCCACCAGCGCTCACTGGCAGCCCAGGATGCTCCACGTACATCTGGCCCCACACACCTTTGCCACCACGGGGAGAGGATTCAAATCCCAGTCCTGCCAGCTGGTCTCTCCCATACCCAACTCCCAAAACTGAAGAGACAACACCAAAGCTGAAACACACTGAGGAAGGGGCATCAAGACATCTGAGACAGCTGAGAGGGGAAAACTGAGATGGGAAAAGGGGCTGAGGAGCTGAGAAAGCAGCAGCAGCTTGCAGGGAGAAAGGGCCAAGCTCGAGCACACTATGGGGATGGCTGCTGCCCGCGAGCCTCCCTGCGGGGCTGCTTTCCAAGAGGAAGGAGCCCTCACATACCACGGTGCCTCTCAGCATCCCCTACGCCGTGTCGCAATGCACTTCATGTTATGGTTGGACACCTGCCTGCGTTTGTTATGGAGCTGCTGTTTCCAAACAGGGGCCCCCGGCGAGGCTGCTGGGGCTGGGCCAGCTCAGCAGTGACGCAGGTGGCTCAGCCTCTGGCACAGTGACTTGGCCCCAGGCAGCAACTGGGGCTGGGGAAGGGCAGAGCAAGCGGGTGAAGAGGCTCAGCTTGACCTCAGGGATCTGCCCTGGACCTGGTTCCATCAACGCCTGCCTGTAGCACCACCCTCCATGGTTGCTTTCCCCGCAGCACAATCTTTGGCCTCCCGCTGCCTCTACTCTCCCCTTGCACTGCAGACGCACCGGGGCCGTTCCTTGGCATTTCTGACCTTGTCTTCACGTGGTTCAGCCCAGTCACCCCGCTGCTACCAAGGTGCAAACTGGCGTCTGGTGGCACCCGGTCACCTCTTTTCCCAGCATGGGGCTAGGTGGACCTGCCCTGGTAATTGCTGCTTAGTAAGAGACAGTTTATTACTCTCCTTTTCAGCTCTTTAAACATTTTGTGCTGAACAGTGGAAACAAGCCAGAACTGCAGCGATAAAAGATTCAGCTGTTTCTCATCATTCTCCCCAGCAATTCCTATTCAATTTGGCTCTTATAGATAAAAAAATGCTCCATCTGCTTTGGAAATAGTCATCAAAAAGCCCTTTGTGCGGTGAGGGCACCATTCAGCGAGGACACACATCCAGACACCTCTTTAACCTCCTGTTCTCAGCATCGACCCAGCACCATTTCCTACTGGCAGAACTCCATCCTGTTCCACCTTCGATGGAGACGAGAACTTGAACAACCTGAGCTGCCTGATCCAGAGCAGGATCCAGACCACCCACCCCACACGCAGACAGTGATAGCACCCGGCCCCAGCTTCACTGCTGGGATTTATAGCTCTCTAGGCAAGGGCACATCCTTCCGGCTCATCCCCCTCATTAGTTCATCATTAATTGTCTCATCAGCCTTCCTCCTGCCCTGCTCCACAGAGGACCTTAGCCTGGGGCAGCCAGCAGAACCACCGCACTGCGCCCAACCAGGAATTTCATTTGTGAAATGGTTGCTTTATCAAGAGCAAAAGCTTTATTTTGTTGGCACCACAACTGCTGAATTTTGTTTCCCCCCCACCAGCCTGAAAGAAGCAAATCCAAATTTCCCTCTGAGCCACTGCTGGGCCCGATGGCTCCTCTTCCCTCTGCACAAACACGCCTGCTCCTTTCCAGTAAAAAGCACCAGATTTAGGGGCAGCAGGAGAAAGAAAATTAGGAAATTATTTTTATGCTTCAGCCTGCAGTTTGCCCAACGCATCAGAGAAGGAACATTGAGGCAACGCAACATTTCGTCAGCTCTTGCGCTTGCAGCCCAGTGCCCCCCGCCCCACCGCAGCCTCCCCACTGCGAAAGTGAGCCGGATCCGTGCTGCAAACCGACAGCAGCTACGCCACGCAGCCACCCGGTCCTGCTGCGTGGCGTCACCTGCACATTATTCAAACAGCCCCGAAGGAAACCTCCCGGTGTTCAATCACAGCAGCTCGGCAATGCCTATCTCGAGCAGGGGCAAACACCTGCAGGCTGAGGGCAGAGGCTGCGCGGTGCCAGCTGGCCCATCACAGGCTGTCACCTCTGAGGAGCATTAAGCAGGATTTTACAAGAAGTGATAAGCCCTGCAGGAAACTGCAGGAGCTGGTTTTCCTTGGGTGTGCGTAACCACAAAGGAGCAGCTCCGGGCCACACCGTGCCCAGATAAGGGATGCCCCAGAACGCTGGCTTCTGGCCAAACAACATTACAAGAAACAACAACAAAAAAAGGCCAAAAGCAGACCACCCCACCCCCCCCAGGACACATGATCTGCCATGAGCCAGAGCTGGGCAAGCACCATTTGTTTTTCCACCACAATCCTGCCAAAAAGCAGCTGATACCATCGAGTGTCGTGGCATTGCTAAACTTGCTTGGGACATGGAGGCAGAAAATCCCCTGTCACAGGGGCCAGAGGTGCCTCCCCACTCTCTTTAACCACTGCTTTACAGCTGATCTTACCGGGTCCAGAGAGCTTCGCTGCAGTCCGGGACCGCGACCCCAGCCCTGGGACAGCATCGCTCACCCATGTTTTCATGCAAGACCAAGCAAAGAGCCCGACATGTCGCGCTGCAAACACAGTCCCTGGTCCCAGGGACATTTCTCTGCGTCTGCCACTAATCCGTTATTCAGAGGGTGCCAGACTAAGCAGCAGTGACCACAACTGCCCCCGGCCCTCCAGCATTTCGGCTAAGGCACCATTTCACTGAGAGAAAACACCCACCTGCAGGGACAGGGGGGCTGCACAGGACGAAGACAGAGCAATTCAATCCTGTTTGTAAAGGCGGGGAGGTGGGATATGTGCTCAGGAACTCCCACAGCAAGGCAGATCTCTGCCCCTTTCGGGGTAGACCAGAGACCAGGCAGGGTGGCGTGGGGAGACCCCAGGACACACGGTAGCCAGGGGGACCCGCTGCCACCACCTCAGACCCAGCTGAGGTCACAGTTCCCTTTGTCAATTATTCTACCCAAACCCACTTGGGGGGGCAGGTATGTGGGGAAGCCACAGCTGAGCTGGGTTTCCCCTGGGGGAGCGTACTACTGCCCAGCGCTGCAGGGACCATGGGATGGGGGCTCCCCAAACTGGGGACCAGGACCATCTAGGAGCAGGGACTCATCCCCCGATGTTTGCACTGCTTGAATGTCACCAGGACCACTCAGGCCTGGAGTCTGTAAGCACCATCTCCTCTAACACCTCCAGCTCCTTCTCGAGTGAGGAACTGGAGTTGAGAACAGGAACAGTGGTGACTGGTACAGGCACGAGGAGCTGTAAAGCTGCGTTTTCCAGACAACAGACACCCATAGCTGAAATCAGCACCCTGGTGGGCTGCCCTGTGGCATGGCCCCAAGGGTTAGAAGATGACAGGTCCAAGGCTTTCATTGGAGAGGAAGCCTTGCTTTACCCTGACACTGAAATTGAGCTGATGCAGAACAGCATCATCATCAATTGGGAAGCAGCCGAAACCCTATGGCAGCATCTGTTCAAACATGAGCTTCAGGTTCCCCCCTGAGGAGTATGCGCTGCTCACCACCGAGCCCCCACCCAGCCCCACCACCCACCGAGAGAAGATGGTGGAGGTGGAGTTCAAGTCACTGGGCTCCCCCGGCCTCTTCATCGCCCACCAGACTGTCCTTTCCACCTATGCCCAGGGCAGAAGCAGCAGTCGGGTGGTGGACACAGGCTACGCCGTCAGCCATGCCGTGCCAGCCCATGAGGGCTATGGCTCAGCACGTGACACCGAGAGGATGGATCTGGTGGCATCATGCCTCTCCTAGTACCTGATGACACTTTTGGGGGAAGTGGGGCACATGCTTAGCAACGAGATGGCCCATACAGTGGAAGACATCAAGCACAAGTGCTGCTGCATTGCTTCCAACTTCAAGAACGAGTGCCAGCTCCCGCCAGCCAGCTGCCCCCTGGATTTTCCCCTGCCCAACGGCTGGACCATCAGCCTCAGCAAGGGGAGGTTTCAGTGCCCAGAAGTGCCCTTCAACTCTCTGCCAAAGTAGGGTATTTCCTATGTGGGCGTCCATGAGATGGCCCGGAGAAGCCTTGACCAACTTCCCGAAAAAATCTGGTCAACAATGTACAAAAGCATCCTCCTGTACAGAGGGTCCTCTCTCTTTGAGGGGCTGGAGAGGAGGTTTTGCAGCAAGGTCCTCCAAAGCCTGCCCCCCAACTTCGAGGTCAGGGTGGCCACCACACCACTGCAGAGGTACTCAGCACAGGTAGGGGGGTCCATCCTCGCCTCCTTCAAAGGCTTCCGGATGTGGTGGATCTGAAGGGACAAGTACAATGAAAAGGGGCCACCAGAAATGCTACTGAGGGGACACCCATGCCAGGCCCAGGGAGCACTTACACAATTTTCTCATGGTTACAGACCAGGCAGCAGAAAGTAATAATAAATGATTTTGTGCTGTCAAGTGTCGTCTGCTCCCCAGCCCTGCACTGTCCCTAGCTGAGGGCTGTTTAGGTAAAAGCCACAGACTCAGGCTGCAGCTGCAGAGATGAAGCCAACAAGTCCTGCTCCTTAAGGACACACCATCTGACACAGCACTGCCTCTGCA